TGGGAGGGAGGGGGTGTTTCTTGCAACGTGGCAGAGCCGCATCAGCCACACAGGGAAGCTTTGCAGGCGCGATGAGGGAGAGGGTGATGGGCGTGAGGAGACGCTTTGCACGGAAACGCTTCTGCCTTTACCTGGGCTTGGGCAGCGTGGCTGTGTGCTGGCGGGGGGGGAGGAGAGGGTCAGCAGGGCCCACTCCAAAAAAAAACGGGGAGTCCAGCGAAGGCAGCCTGGGGTGAGTTGAGTGTTCAGGGCAGGGGCTGGCTGCCTTTGCTAGTGTCGATCGTTCCGTCTTTTGACGATGGAACAGCTGGTTGCCATTTTTGCAGTCGAGGGTGTAACCATGACTTCCTGGCAGCTATTTATGTCTTAACTATAAGGGAAGTACTGAATATACTTCTTTTAGGGGTAGGGTTCGGTTTTGGGGATGGATTGTGATAATCGGAATGTCTTTGATTCTAACAACGGCTCTGCAAAAGCACCTGGCTGCAAAGAGCTCTTTTCCCCGCGTGTCTTAATGCGATCCGGCAAGGATTCCCCCCGACTCGTTGAAATTCAGGGTCTGTGATCCACTTTACGAAGTGTGTCTTGTTTGTGTTTCAGGAACCTTGTCCTAAGAAAGCCACCTTGGCTAAAGTTGTGCCAACCCCAAATAACGGATCAGTAGAACTAGTGCCGCTCCACAGAGACCAGGTAAGGGTACGGCTGTCGGGAGCAGAACTGACATTTGTCACGCACCAGGGAACTGCTACGTCATGCCGTCAGCCTGCAGTTTATTAGCTTTTAACTTAAGTAGTTAGGGAAAAACCAGCTGTGGTCAGTCAAAACTGGGGATGTTAAGGATTGCATGGTGTTTCCTGGTGCGTGTATCATGCAATAACTGAAGATCTAAGGGATTGGGATTTCTTTCCTTCTTCAGGCCAGATTAGGTGTGGAGTGAAGCCTTTGGTGTGTGTTCAACTGCTTGGGTTTTTTTCCCCCTCTCTGCAGGGTGAGGATGGGCAGGAGGCTCTTTCCTTTGAATTTCAGAAAATCAAATACTCGTATGAGATAGACGGCAAGAAACAGTTTCTTCCTGTAGCTTTCCCTGTGGAACATCCCCTTTGTTACTACCAGAATGCCCGAGGCTATCAGGAGGACAAAGATATCCGAGCAGCTGAGAAGAAATACGGTACAAACAAGTAAGTTTTCCAGGCGTGGATCTCTCTCTGCGGAAGTATGCCAGTGTGTCAGGAACAATGGTGTTGAACCACGGTTCTAGTCCTGTTTTTTAAACTTCAATTACTCCCGGCACTTGCTTCAAATTCCATTAAGGACGGGGAACGGTATCGGACCAAGGGCTTTTCTCCAGGGTGGGCTATAGATGGAAATTAATTGCCTATAACAAATTCACTGAATCAAAGTAATTGGAAATAGGGAGATTGTGGACATTCTGGAGTACAGCCTGGTCTGACACCAGAGGCTGCAGGTGGCTTTTGGGTTGGGCTTTTGCTGAGCATCTGGAACGTTTAGGTTAATACGGATTCAATTCTTTCCCAGGGCTGAGATGGTGGTGCCAGAATTCTTGGAGCTCTTTAAAGAAAGAGCTACAGCTCCATTCTTCGTCTTTCAGGTAAAATGAACAAACAAAAAGAGCTGTAGATACTTCTCACTGCTAAAAAATGAGAGAATTCCTTACAATCCTGGCTTGAGAGCCACAGATCAGCTGGCAGCCTTCTAAAATCGGGAGTAGATGCTATTCTTGCACTGTAATATTGATTTTACTTCTGGGAGTGACCCGGTTTCTCCCTAATGAGTTACTGTGATTTTCTGTTTTTCTGGCTTCCTACAATTAAATGTGTACCAAGTTAGCTTAGAAAAAAAATTCCTAGAAATTGAAGACACTTGTTTTGTGAGGGAGATGAGAATAACTTCCGTGTCGCGTTCTCCCCCCAGGTGTTCTGCGTGGGTTTGTGGTGCCTGGATGAATACTGGTATTACAGTGTTTTCACCCTCTCCATGTTGGTTGCATTCGAAGCTTCTCTGGTCCAGCAGCAAATGAGGAACATGTCAGAGATTCGAAAAATGGGCAACAAGCCATACATGATCCAGGTAATCGGAGTCAGAGAGGATTGTGCATGAATTTTTTGATGTAGCTGTCTTTTAGCTGGTTTGCTGTTCCTTTTTCCCATCCTTTTCCTCTGATCCTTTTCTGATGCATGCAGGGCTTCTGAAAGTGCTTTTTTTTTTCCTACAGGTTTACAGAAACCGCAAGTGGCGCCCCATTTCCAGTGACGAGATTATTCCAGGGGATATCGTTTCCATTGGTAATACTTGCATAATGGTTGTAATCAAAAGCTTGTTTAAAATCAGATTCTTTCCAGTGCGTTAAGTTGTGCAGGAAATTGAATTAGGCATAAAAATCTAACCGTCTTGGTCGGGTGCTTTTGAGGACTTTGATTCGTAGGTGTCACAGTTCAAGGGCCCAAGAGATTAATCCTTGGGCTGGATCTCTTTCTTAAAGAAAGGTAAATACCTAGATAAATCAGCCTCAGATTCTTCAGCTTAGGATTGTGAAGATGGAGAGTTCCCTTCCTTAGATCTCTCTCTTAACCCTGCTCTCCCTTTTAAGGTTGTATTACCCCAGGATGTGGTGCCAGTCTTTGAAGCCTGAACAGCAATGAGAACTAAGTGACTTGATTTTAAGACTTTCCTGGTCTTAATAGAGACCTAATAACCTTCAAACCCTTTTGGTTGTCAGCAATGCTGAGTGGGTACATGCTGTGGTAGACTTGGCAGCCCCTGGGAGGTTTGAAACTTTAGGAATCTCCTCTATCTCAGCTAAACTGAAGGAGAGCTGTGCCCTGCCGGACAAGTAGCCAAACAGTAGTCACTTCTGCCTTTGAGCTTCTTCTCAGTTTTAATGTATTAATTGCAGGCCGATCTCCTCATGAAAACCTAGTGCCGTGTGATGTGCTGCTGTTACGTGGAAGGTGTATTGTAGATGAAGCTATGCTGACGGGAGAGTCTGTGCCACAGATGAAGGTCTGTGAAATGTCCTCTCTGCTGTCCCTTTGTTGCAACCTGGAACAGGAAAAATATTCAAGCCACTGCATTTGCGAGTGCAAATTAATCTCTTTGTGTGAATGCCGGCCCAAGCAACCTGGTCTGTTTGTTATCGGCTCCCTGTCAGTGATTGATGGTCTCTGGTAAATGAGAAACAGAAATGTCTGTTTTGTCTGGCAGTGTCTGCAGCCTTTGGGTCTGAACTGCGTCGTGTGGGCATGGCATCGCCCTCCTACACATTCCCCAGTCTGGATTCCTTTGGCTGGGTAGAGGTGGGAGGAGGAACAAGTGTAAAGCACTTCAAAACCCCAAATCTTCCTTCTTTTTGCGCCAGTGGGTGACTTAAAAATGATAAAGTAACGCTTGCAGAGCCTCCCTTGCTGAATTCAGTGTTCCAAGGGTGAACTAGTCCCCCAAAACCAGAATTTCCACAGATGCCAGGCTCTGAACCCAGACCGATCGGGAGCTGAATGGCATGTTAAGGCCTAGGTTCAGTTCAGGCCACATTCGGCTGAAGCTGAGAACATCTTGTGGGATAAGAACAGAAAGGAATACTTGAAGTTTACTTGTTGATAGCCGTGAATCTGAGGCCTGAACATGGTCCTGCAGGAGCCTGTGGAGGATCTCAGCCCAGAGCACGTCCTGGACATGCAGACAGATTCCCGCCTACACATCATTTTTGGGGGAACAAAAGTGGTGCAGCACATCCCGCCCCAGAAAGCCAGCACAGGACTGAAACGTATGTACCTGCACAAATTCCCTCTGAGAGGGCGTGTCGTGCGCTCACAGATTTATTTTAAATGGCTTGATACAACTTTTGGAGGGTGTCATTGAGTCAGTCTCCTTGGCCCTGTCGTTAATGGTTTACTTTGATTATTAGACCGCTGTGATGTTTTATTAAAGTTGACTATGTCCCCTTGTAAGTGAGAGGAGGGTGTAGCTTCAAGTGTATTCTGTCTGTGATAAGCCTATAAAAGTTTCACACTTCGTTCCTGCTCCTGTTCCAGCTGTCGATAATGGGTGTGTGGCGTATGCTCTGAGGACCGGCTTCAACACGTCTCAGGTAAGACGCGAACGTGCCTTCTCACCTCTGTCTTGTCGATGATGCTGGTTGTGTCGTTCAGTGCTTCGCTGTCAGGAAATCCTTATGAAGTACCGCAGTGGGAAAATATAAATCAGGGCATTAAAATTACTTGTTTGTTTGGAAGAGGATTAAATAAGGTTGGTCTGTTCTCTGTGTGACAGATAAGGAGTCTGATGTTTGATGCAGAAGCCTGGGAGTCAGGGTTCAGGGTTCCTGTTGTGACTGGCCGCACTATGTATATACTGCAGCTCCTGGTTATCCCTGTTTCTGTAATGATAATTATTGGAAAAAGGCAATTGAGTGTGCTTGTGGAGACTAGAGATGTGAGCGTGAGCTTTTTCAATTGAAAATTGAAGACTGCTTCAAAGAAATCATCAACTTAAGTGACTTAGCAACAAGTTTGGGTTTTTTTAACAGATTAATTACCGAAATGGGAATAAGTTTCAGGCTCTGGCACCAAACCACCAGAGTGTAATTTTAAAATTGGGTCTCATACATCTTTTTAACAAACTACTGCATGCGGCAGAGATAGCTTCTTGCACTGAAGGCTGTTCTTCTCAGGGGAAATTGCTACGTACAATCCTCTTTGGGGTGAAGAGAGTGACAGCCAATAACTTAGAGACCTTCATTTTCATCCTGTTCCTGCTGGTCTTTGCCATTGCTGCTGCAGCATACGTCTGGATTGAAGGTGAGATTTCTTCTTGCCTCTTCCAGGTCTCTACACAGGACTTGTACCAAAGCTTATGGGAAGGACAGTTGACGTAATTTCTGAGAGTTACAATAGCTGGGTTGGGCTGCGCCCGTGTTTCAGTGTAGGGGCCCACACTGCATTCTGGATGCTTTTCTTGCCCTCCCACAGCCCTTCCTAGGTAGGTGTGCTTCTTTGCGGTACTCGTCTTAGTTCTGTGGGCACGCAGTCTGAGGGTGAGGAGGTATACAGGTCTCCCGTCTCATTCTGTAGGCACCAAGGATCCTAGCAGGAACCGTTACAAGCTCTTCCTGGAGTGTACTTTAATACTGACTTCGGTCGTTCCACCTGAACTTCCCATTGAGCTCTCTCTGGCTGTCAACACCTCTCTCATCGCCTTGGCCAAGCTCTGTAAGTACCAAGCCTAAATACAGAAACAAGAATAGGACTGCTTTCTTCGGTCTGGAACTGTGGAGACGTTGGTGAGGAAATGAGTGTGAAATTACTGTAATGTCCTCAGTTTCTATGCAGTGACAGTATGGGTTTTGGAGCTGGTGTGTATGAGGGGGTTTAAACCCCAAAGAACTTGGGAGGTGTGTGCTTTGAAGTGGGTCCTAAATCAAGTGTAGGAGGGAATATATTCCTATGAAAGCCTGCTTGCTCAACTGTCCTGCGTTTCTGCATTGAGCAGGTTCCTATATATGGAATATATAGGAGAGCAGCCCTGCC